TAAATGAAGGATGGGGGTGTAAATGAAGGATGGGGGTGTAAGTGAAGATTGGGGGAGTAAGTGAAGATGGGGGGAGTAAGTGGTGATGGGGGGAGTAAGTGAAGATGGGGGGTGTAAATGAAGGAGGGGGGAGTAAGTGAAGATGGGGGGGAGAAAGTGAAAGAGGGGGGAGTAAGTGAAGATGGGGGGAGTAAGTGAAGGGAGGGAGTAAGTGAAGGAGGGGGGAGTAACAGAAGGTGGAGGAGGGGGAGTAAGAAGAAGAAGGGGGGTTTGAAAAACGGGGGGTAAGAAGAACACAAGGAGGAGGGGGAGAGTAAGAGTGAGGAGAAGGGGAGATGAGCAGAAGTGGGGGACTGAGAAGAACACAGGGAGGGTGGGTAGTGAGGAGAACACAGGGAGGGTAGGTGGTGAGGAGAACACAGGGAGGGGGAGGTGAGGAGGACACAGGGAGGAGAGGACACTACGCGCACACACACACACACAATGCATCCCTACACACACAGAAACACAACATGCTTCCCTTACACTCAGAGAAACACACAATGCATCCATTACACACAAACAATGCAACACTTACACACAAAGACAATGCATCCTTTGCACACATACACAGAAACACATAATGCAAACACTTACACACACACTGCTTTTCTTACATACACACAGAAACACAATGCATCACTAACACACACTCAATGCACACACTTACAGACACACACCTTGCATCCCTTATGCATACAAACACAGATTCACACAATGCATCCCTTACACACAACCAGAAACACACAATACATCCCTTATACACAAATACACACTGCTTCCACTACACACAAACACACTGCATCACCTGCACAAACTGGTATCCCTATACACTACATACCATAAGCACACATATTAGATCCTCTACAACAGGGGTTCTCAACCCAGTCCTCAGGACCCGCTACCAGTCCAGGATTTGGGGATTACCTGGGTGTGTCTCAGGTGTTTAGAAAAAGGGAAAAAAACACCTTAGACACACCCAGGTAATCCCTAAACCCTGGACTGGTAGGGGGTCCTGAGGACTAATGTTGAGAACCCCTGCTCTACAATAACACATAACACATCCCCTACACACTCCACTCCCTGTGAGCGAACTCATGGGTGGGTGGAACATATAAGTGGACTTATGAGTGGGCCTTGTGGGCATACTCACCGTCAGGCCCTGGGGCCCAGACCTTGAGCTGTGTAAGGGGCCCTTCCAAAAATGGAGCTGCTTCCAATTCTCCCAGAACATTGAATTTTGTGACCACAGTTGCAAACAGCCTCCAGAGATCCTGTTCTACACCAGACCAGTGGAGCCAAACTGCAGCCCATCATCATCCTCATTTGGTTGTAAGTAGGCAATCTAGTATATTATTAGTGACACTAATCTATAATTTTCATTACATTAAAGGGACACTATAGTCCCCAGAATGACTGGAGCTTAATGAAGTGGTTCTGGTATCTATAGGCGGTCCCTGCAGGCTTTTTAATGTAAACACACACTGTGGGCAGCACTGGCGTTAGTTCGTATGGCAGCTCATATAGGTGGGGCATTGTGATGTCACATGGGGGGCGGCAAATACAGCTGTTCCCCATGCAGCCACAGGTGCCACTGTGCTGAGAGATTGTGATTACTCTTCACTTCCTCCCAGCTTACAGAGCAGCGCATGGGAGAGAGAGGGGAGGAGGCATGATTTAATCTTACAACAAATCCAGTAAGCAAATCTTTATAAATTTGGATGGGATCAGATCTGTTTCCACAGTTTATTGGTGTTTACTCTGCTGTCTGTATTAATATTGAGGGATTTCTAAGTAGTAACATCAGTGTGTGTCAGCAGGGCCAGCCATTGGGGTGTGCACGCTGTGCGGTCACGCAGGGTGCCATCACAACAGAGGCGCCCGGCGGACAACACAGCTCACAAGTTGGGGACACCAGCCTATTCAATTTAAACGATTCGCTGGTGGTCCACTGGTGCGCACCAGCAGTAGGTGCAGTCAGATTATAGCATCTCCCTCGTGGTTCCGACGCTCAGTTAGTGAGTCAGAGCACAGGCTCAGAGATTCTCAGCCTGCGCTCTGACAACATTGAAAGTCAGAGCCGTGAAGGAGCGGGTATGGCAAAGAGCTACTGATTAGCATAACATCAATATCCATTATAAATCCAGGAAAAGGTGGGCACCATTGCACTGATTTGGTGGTGCAATGGGCCTCTTGACTGGTTTTGCCCCCCAGGCCTAAGGCTGCCAGCCCTCCCCTGCTTGCTACGCATATTGCCATTTTAACCAGTGTATGTCACATTGTGTGTCTGTAACAAGGCCAAACATTGAAGGGTATGTAAACTTCTGATCAGGGCCATTTAGGTGATTTCTGTTATTATTATGATTTTAAAAGGAGCCAAGCAACTATGTGATAATAGATGGCTTCATATGACCACTATCCTTTAATAAAATAAATTTTCAATCAAAAATTTCAATCAAAATTATTCAACCCCCATTGAAAATCAGGTTTATTGTCAAAATTTACAGACTTTCAGTTGTTTACAATGAACAAATCAAACACAAGAAATTGAAATAGCTCAACACAATGAATGCTTCAAGTGGTTTCTTTAAATGCAACTGAAAATACAACTTATAATGACTTCCAGTCTCAAAATTATTCAACCCCCTAAACCAAGGGCTTCGTTAGTTGCACAAGGTGTGTTTTGAGCTGGAACACTTGAAATACCTGAACTGGCTAGGGGTTTGTTGAGTGTCACGTTTGACTGCATGTTAGAAATATGGCTTAGTCAAAAGAATGGTTCACAAAGTTAAGAAAAGAGGTCATCGCCCTGCACAAACAAGGAATAGGATGCAAAAAGATAGCGAAAGCTATGACTGTTCCTTGAGATACTGTTGCGAGCATAGTTCACAAGTTCTAAGTTGAAGGAACAGTGGTTACCCTACCTGGATGTGGCAGAAAAAGATGTCTCTCAATGGCTGGAACCAGATTTTTGAGAAGGCAGGTTGTGAAAAAAACTTTGAGTGACTGCAAATGACCTGCAGCAAGACTTGGTGGCAACAGGCACTGAGGTTTCAGTGAGCACAGTAAGGCGCATTCTAAAAGCAGGAGGCTTCCATGCCAGAACTCCAAGACGTACACCACTACTGATCCAAAAGCACGAGAGCTCAAAATCATGTAAATAAGCCGCAGAAGTTTTAGGATTTTGCTCTGTGGAGTGATGAAATAAAACTGAAACTTTTTGGCCCAATGGATCAGCCTGGTCTGGAGGAAGAAGAATGAAGCATTTACTGAAAAGAACACTCTACCTACAGTGAAGCATGGTGGTGGCTTGGTGATGCTCTTGGGCTGCTTTGCATCCTCTGGTGCTGGAAACTGCAGCGTGTGCTAGGCAAGATGGATTCATTGAAGTATCAGAAAATCCTAGCAGAAAATGTCATACCTTCTGTGAGGAAGCTGAAGCTTGGGCATCATTGGACCTTCCAACAAGACAATGATCCCAAGCATACCTCAAATTTTTATTTCCAGTCCGGCCCTTATGGCCGGATTAGAAAATGCCCGGACCAAATTCCCCCCCCCGGTCCGGCCTATGATTGGCTAAGTATAGTAGCTGATGCTCTCAGCCAAATAATTCTGTTTTAATATGGGAAAAAATGACATAGCTAATATGGAAGTGTAAATTTCACATTAGCGATATTAATGAGGGACTGTGCCACAGGTGCGTGGGGGACTCTTGGTTTGTTTCACACTGCAGGAATTTTTGTCATACAGAAGTAAAGAAAGACAGTACAGTGCTAACTGTGGTGTAATCGTTAAGGTTCTCAAATTGCCCCTTTAAGACTGCTTTATATAGTGTCACAGCCACTAATGTCCTTTCAGGTGCCTTAACTCTGTCTGTTCTACAAAGCAGGCACATACCACGTTGTATACAACAGTAAGGCTAAGTTAAGATATTGTTTGGGACATCCTGTCATCAAGGAATTAGTTATCATGTCAGGACATTGACAAGGTGTCTTAGATATGTCTGTATTTCCACTGTACATAATTTAACACCAGTTACGTGACACACTTGGGTAGTGAAAACGAAATGGATATGTCTATGTGAAGGACGCTTTCAAATATTACTGGTGGACATTAAATAAATTCAACATCAGTAACATACTTATTTCCTAATTTGGAATGACCTTGCTACGTTTTTAGCTTCTACTTATATAATAAAAATAAGAAAGAATTAAAAAACTATTGTGTAATTTGTATTTAAAATAAATAAATAAAATGTGTTACATACAGGGCTATTTACTAAAATCGGTAATTGCCAGGGATTCAGAGCAAATTTATAGTAAATTTACATTAAAGGACCACTATAGTGCTAGGAAAACAAACTCGTTTTCATGGCACTATAGTGTTAATAGGTCCCCCCACCCTCAGGGTCCCCCTCCGCTGGGCACAAGAGGGGTTAAGGGATTAAGGTTAAGGGGTTAAACACTCACCTTTCTCCAGCACCGGGCTCTCTCGGCGCTGGGGACTCTCCTCCCTCTTCCGACGTCAGCGGCCGAATGGGCATACGCGACAAGAGCCGCTCGCGCATTCAATCAGTCCATAGGAAAGCATTCCTCAATGCTTTCCATTGGACGGCAGCGTCTTCTCACTGTGAAAATCACAGTGAGAAGCGCCTCTAGCGGCTGTCAATGAGACAGCCACTAGAGGATGGATTAACTCTAATGTAAACATAGCAGTTTCTTTGAAACTGCTATGTTTACAGCTGCAGAGTTAACCTTAGATGGACCTGGCACTCAGACCACTTCATTGAGCTGAAGTGGTCTGGGTGCCTATAGTGGTCCTTTAAAGGCCAAAATAGCAAAACAAAAACAGAGTTGACTTGGAGAATTTTTCTTCTGGATAATGGCTGCAATATAAATCCCACTTCAATTATACATTGTTCTGAAATGCTTGGCTTTGGCTCATAAACTCTTTGATACAATGTAAATTGTATAATTGGGTGTGGCCCCCAATGTTCTATGTTCTAACTTGCTCCCTCTCTATATTGTAGTTTTGCTCAACTCCTTTCAGGACAAGTAACATACCAGGCTATTTTTCCTCCAGTTATTACTGAATGGTGTTATACTAACACCTATCCAAAACAATATATTACAGGGGGATACAACTCACCTGAAAAACCAAAGAAATACAGAAATAAGGTCATACGAATATTTGAACTTTATAAATGCAGGAGGGTTTGGACACTTCATCTATTAACTAATTATAATGACACTTATCCAAACAAATTCAGCATATGTAAGAAAACTTGAAATTATGGTGACAATTTAGTAAAATTCAATGCATTTCTTTTAAGGGAGGGAGTATAATAAATATTTCATGATTTACAAACAGTCAACCCCGTGTTGAAGTTGTTTATGAGATTTTTATGCTTAAAAATATTTGTAAATAGAGATGTATACATATATTAAATAAATGCAAATTTTAGAGTCAATATAATCACTAACATAATATTAGCTTAATGGAGTGGTTTTTGTGTATAGATTGTGCACTTTCAGTAGAAATGCTAAATTCTCTGCCATTTAGGAGTTAAATCTTTATGCAGCCCGGGTCACACCTCACCTGCATGTGATGTACACAGTCTTCCTGCGTACTTCATGTAAAGAGCTAATGTTTAAACCTCCTTTTTTGCACATTTTTTAAAATTAAGAATGTATTATCGCCTGCTCTGTTAAAAGAATGATAGAGCCTGCAGGAGCCTACTGTGTGTGAATAGAACAGGAGAAAAAAAAATCTAAAGTAAACACATTGTACTGAATGAAAATGAAACCATTTTTTAATGACTGGTTTGTTTTGGTGCTTAGGGTATCAAATGGCCATGTTACCTCAGTGCTTTTTTGTCAATGCCTTTCTATCTGTCTCACTGTGCACGTGTCTACAAGACTGTATATGTTCATGTGCACAGAGGCTGTCTGTTGTGGGCAGGCTGTGTGTGGGGAAGGCTGTATGTATTGTGTGTATAGGCATATGTACTATCTGTGGTATTTGTAGGCAATTTGTGTGTTTGGGAGGTGTGTATGTTTGTGTTGTAGGTTGATTGAGTGATGTGCGGGTTTGCCGAGTGGTGAATGTAAGGGTTTGCTCAGTGTTGTGTGCCATGGCTAAGTGGCGAATATGGGGGAGAGCTGAGTGGGGTTTGTGTATGTGGGTTTGATCAGTGTTGCGTGTATTAGATGTGTGACGTGTGTGTGTGGGGGGCATTACTCCCAATGTTATTTGTTTAGAATATAAAAGATGCCCTCTTCTGATTACTAATCCCTAGTGGCTTGGTGGGGATATGATAGAATCCATGGAGGCCCATTGGGTACATGCTGTGGAGTGCACCTTAGGCGATTCAGTGATCCATTAATGTCTCATAGTGCTTACAGTAGCATTCTAACAGGGTTATTCTCTAAAGTAAGAAATGTGGGAAATTTAGAATAAATTTGAAAATTTAGGCTAAGACAGCCTGTTTAGAAACATTTTCCAAGTCAGCATTTAGTTTGGCTATTTTGGCTTACATTTAAAATTCCATTTTAATTCCTGGCAATTCTCACTTTATTGAATAGTTTTGCAAGCAGGGCCGATCCAAGGGTCACAGACAGCTGGATGAAGAATTTGCAAATGTCCAGTCCAAAAATGCATGTTTCTATGGCAATGACTCCACCTCTCCATCTATAAGCTCCAACTCTTTTTGTAATCAGACACACACTCACTGACAGTCACACACTCTCACTGAGATACACACTCTATCACTGACAGACGCACACACTCACTGACAATCTGACATTCGCTCTAACTGACAGACACTCACTCTCACTGATTGAAACACACTCACTGAAAGTCACATACTGTCACTCTCTCACTGAGAGACACACACATTCAATGATTTGACACACTAACAGACACCCTCACTGACAGACACACTGACACACACCCTCAATGACAGACACACAATCTTACTGATTTGAAACATTTCCTGACACACTCACCCGTGCATCCGCCCAGGATCGTCCCTGTTTGCAATTCATTTAGAATTGCCAAGATGATGAAGGTGCACTTACAGTAATCTGCACACCAAATCCTGTGAGGGGTTTTTAGGGACAGTTAGTGAGTTATGCTTATCTAGTAATCAAATAGTAAAACCAAAACCACGTATTATTCAACCACACCACCTTGTGTACCTCCCCAAAAAAGTATACACCACAATGAACATAAATTGCTTGCTACAAACTATGGAAAACAAATAAGATGAACATTAAATACATACAATATAAACTGTCAAGGTATATGCCTTTTAAGGTGACAGTGTTAACCATCCACCTTACTTAGTTTCTAAGCTATATTTATCTTCCTGCCACCCTTGCTTGCAGTCATGATGCCCTCTCTGTCTGTATAGTGACTGGGATTGCTTGGGTCACCAGTTAGTATCAGCCTGTGTAATGACTGGGATTGCCCGGTTGATTAGTTACTGTCAGCCTGTATACTGACTGGGATTGCCCAGGTGGCCAGCTAGTATCAGTTGTATACTGACTGGGATTGCCTGGGTGACTAGTTACTGTCAGCCTGTGTACTGACTGGGATCACCCGGATGGCCTGTTTAGTATCAGCTTGTATAATGACTAGGATTGTCCGGGTGACTAGTTACTGTCAGCCTGTATACTGACTGGGATTCCCCGGGTGGACAGTTTAGTATCAGCCTGTATACTGACTTGGATTGCCCGGTTGATTAGTTACTGTCAGCCTGTATACTGACTGGGATTCCCCGGGTGGACAGTTAGTATTAGTTGTATACTGAGTGGGATTGGCCGGGTGACTAGTTACGGTCAGCCTGTATACTGACTGGGATTGCCCGGGTGGCCAGTGAGTATCAGCTTGTATACTGACTGGGATTGCTAGGGTGGTCAGTTAGTATCAGTTTGTATACTGACTGGGATTGTCCAGGTGACTAGTTACTGTTAGCCTGTATACTGACTGGTATTTGCCCGGTTGACTAGTAACCGTCAACCTGTATACTGACAGGGATTGCCTGCGTGGCCAGTTAGTATCAGCCTATATAATGACTGGGATTGCCTGGGTGGACAGTTAGTATCAGCCTATTTACTGACTAGGATTGCCCAAGTAGCCAATTAGTATCGGCCTATATACTGACTGGGATTGTTCTGGTGGCCAGTTACGGTCAGCCTGTATACTGACTGGTACTGCCTGGGTGGCCAGTTGCTGCAGCTGTATAGTGACTGGGATTGCCCGGGTGGCCAGTTACTATTAGCTTGTATATGACTGGGGTTTCCCGGGTGACTAGTGAGTATCAGCCCATTTACTGACTGGGATTGCCCTTGTGGCCAGTTAGTTTCAGCTTGTATACAGGGAGTGCAGAATTATTAGGCAAGTTGTATTTTTGAGGATTAATTTTATTATTGAACAACAACCATGTTCTCAATGAACCCAAAAAACTCATTAATATCAAAGCTGAATATTTTTGGAAGTAGTTTTTAGTTTGTTTTTAGTTTTAGCTATGTTAGGGGGATATCTGTGTGTGCAGGTGACTATTACTGTGCATAATTATTAGGCAACTTAACAAAAAACAAATATATACCCATTTCAATTATTTATTATTACCAGTGAAACCAATATAACATCTCAACATTCACAAATATACATTTCTGACATTCAAAAACAAAACAAAAACAAATCAGTGACCAATATAGCCACCTTTCTTTGCAAGGACACTCAAAAGCCTGCCATCCATGGATTCTGTCAGTGTTTTGATCTGTTCACCATCAACATTGCGTGCAGCAGCAACCACAGCCTCCCAGACACTGTTCAGAGAGGTGTACTGTTTTCCCTCCTTGTAAATCTCACATTTGATGATGGACCACAGGTTCTCAATGGGGTTCAGATCAGGTGAACAAGGAGGCCATGTCATTAGATTTTCTTCTTTTATACCCTTTCTTGCCAGCCACGCTGTGGAGTACTTGGACGCGTGTGATGGAGCATTGTCCTGCATGAAAATCATGTTTTCTTGAAGGATGCAGACTTCTTCCTGTACCACTGCTTGAAGAAGGTGTCTTCCAGGAACTGGCAGTAGGACTGGGAGTTGAGCTTGACTCCATCCTCAACCCGAAAAGGCCCCACAAGCTCATCTTTGATGATACCAGCCCAAACCAGTACTCCACCTCCACCTTGCTGGCGTCTGAGTCGGACTGGAGCTCTCTGCCCTTTACCAATCCAGCCACGGGCCCATCCATCTGGCCCATCAAGACTCACTCTCATTTCATCAGTCCATAAAACCTTAGAAAAATCAGTCTTGAGATATTTCTTGGCCCAGTCTTGACGTTTCAGCTTGTGTGTCTTGTTCAGTGGTGGTCGTCTTTCAGCCTTTCTTACCTTGGCCATGTCTCTGAGTATTGCACACCTTGTGCTTTTGGGCACTCCAGTGATGTTGCAGCTCTGAAATATGGCCAAACTGGTGGCAAGTGGCATCGTGGCAGCTGCACGCTTGACTTTTCTCAGTTCATGGGCAGTTATTTTGCGCCTTGGTTTTTCCACACACTTCTTGCGACCCTGTTGACTATTTTGAATGAAATGCTTGATTGTTCGATGATCACGCTTCAGAAGCTTTGCAATTTTAAGAGTGCTGCATCCCTCTGCAAGATATCTCACTATTTTTGACTTTTCTGAGCCTGTCAAGTCCTTCTTTTGACCCATTTTCCCAAAGGAAAGGAAGTTGCCTAATAATTATGCACACCTGATATAGGGTGTTGATGTCATTAGACCACACCCATTCTCATTACAGAGATGCACATCACCTAATATGCTTAATTGGTAGTAGGCTTTCGAGCCTATACAGCTTGGAGTAAGACAACATGCATAAAGAGGATGATGTGGTCAAAATACTCATTTGCCTAATAATTCTGCACTCCCTGTAGTGACTGGGATTGCCCTGGTGGCCAGTTAGTTTCAGCTTGTATAGGGACTGGGATTGCCAGGGTGGCTAGTTAGTATCAGCTTGTATAGTGACTGGGATTGCCCGGATGACTAGTTACTGTCAGCCTGCATACTGACTGGGACTGCCTGGGTGGCCAGTTACTGTCACCCTGTATAGTGACTGGGATTGCCCGAGTAGCCAGTTAGTATCAGCCTGTATACTGACTAGGATTGCCCGAGCAGCCAGTTAGTATCAGCCTGTATACTGACTGGGATTGTTCTGGTGGACAGTTACGGTCAGCCCGATATACTGACTGGTATTGCCTGGGTGGCCAGTTGCTGCAGCATGTATAGTGACTGGGATTGCCCGGGTGGCCAGTTAGTATCAGCTTGTATACTGACTAGGGTTTCCCTGGCTGTATAACTGCCCAGGTGGCCAGTTAGTGTCAGGCTGTGTAGCCACTGGGATTGCCTGGGTGGCCAGTTACTGTCAGGCTGTGTAGTCAATGGGATTGCCCGGGTGGTCAGTTACTGTCAGGTTGTGTAGTCACTTTGATTGCCCGGGTGGCCAGTTACTGTCAGGCTGTGTAATCACTGGGATTGCCCGGGTGGCCAGTTACTGTCAGGCTGTGTAATCACTGGGATTGCCCGGGTGGCCAGTTACTGTCAGGCTGTGTAGTCACTTTGATTGCCCGGGTGGCCAGTTACTGTCAGGCTGTGTAGTCACTGGGATTGGCCGGGTGGCCAGTTACTGTCAGGCTGTGTAGTCACTTTGATTGCCCGGGTGGCCAGTTAGTGTCAGGCTGTGCAGTCACTGGGATTGCCCGGGTGGCCAGTTACTGTCAGGCTGTGCAGCCACTGGGATTGCCCGGGTGGCCAGTTACTGTCAGGCTGTGTAGCCACTGGGATTGCCCGGGTGGCCAGTTACTGTCAGGCTGTGTAGTCACTGGGATTGCCCGGGTGGCCAGTTACTGTCAGGCTGTGTAGTCACTGGGATTGCCCGGGTGGCCAGTTACTGTCAGGCTGTGTGACGCCGGGATTTTGGGGTGGCCAGTTACTGTCAGGCTGCGTGTAGCCACTGGGATTGCCGGGTGGCCGAGTTACAGTCGGGCTGTGTGGCCACTGGGATTACCGGGTGGCCAGTTACTGTCAGGCTGTGTAGTCACTGGGATTGCCGGGTGGCCAGTTACTGTCGGGCTGGCATACGGTCACTGGGATTGCCGGGTGGCCGGATACTGTCAGTCTGTGTGCAGTCACTGGGATTTGCCGGATGGCAGTTACTGTCCGGGCTGTGTAGTCACTTTGATGATTGCCGGGTGGCCCAGTTACTGTCAGGCTGTGCGTGAAGTCGCTGGGATTTGCCGAGATTGTGCACTGTCAGGCTGTGTAGTCACTGGGATTGCCGGGATGGCCAGTTACTGTCAGGCTGTGTAGTCGCTTTGATTGCCCGGGTGGCCAGTTAGTGTCAGGCTGTGTAGTTACTGGGATTGCCCGGGTGGCCAGTTACTGTCAGGCTGTGTAGTCACTGGGATTGCCCGGGTGGCCAGTTACTGTCAGGCTGTGCAGCCACTGGGATTGCCCGGGTGGCCAGTTACTGTCAGGCTGTGTAGCCACTGGGATTGCCCGGGTGGCCAGTTACTGTCAGGCTGTGTAGTCACTGGGATTGCCCGGGTGGCCAGTTACTGTCAGGCTGTGTAGTCACTGGGATTGCCCGGGTGGCCAGTTACTGTCAGGCTGTGTAGTCACTTTGATTGCCCGGGTGGCCAGTTACTGTCAGGCTGTGTAGTCACTGGGATTGGCCGGGTGGCCAGTTACTGTCAGGCTGTGTAGTCACTTTGATTGCCCGGGTGGCCAGTTAGTGTCAGGCTGTGCAGTCACTGGGATTGCCCGGGTGGCCAGTTACTGTCAGGCTGTGCAGCCACTGGGATTGCCCGGGTGGCCAGTTACTGTCAGGCTGTGTAGCCACTGGGATTGCCCGGGTGGCCAGTTACTGTCAGGCTGTGTAGTCACTGGGATTGCCCGGGTGGCCAGTTACTGTCAGGCTGTGCAGTCACTGGGATTGCCCGGATGGCCAGTTACTGTCAGGCTGTGCAGTCACTTTGATTGCCCGGGTGGCCAGTTACTGTCAGGCTGTGCAGTCACTGGGATTGCCCGGATGGCCAGTTACTGTCAGGCTGTGTAGTCACTGTGATTGCCCGGGTGGCCAGTTACTGTCAGGCTGTGTAGTCACTGGGATTGCCCGGGTGGCCAGTTACTGTCAGGCTGTGTAGTCACTGGGATTGCCCGGATGGCCAGTTACTGTCAGGCTGTGTAGCCACTGGGATTGCCCGGGTGGCCAGTTACTGTCAGGCTGTGTAGTCACTGGGATTGCCCGGGTGGCCAGTTAGTGTCAGGCTGTGTAGTCACTGGGATTGCCCGGGTGGCCAGTTAGTGTCAGGCTGTGTAGTGACTGGGATTGCCCGGGTGGCCAGTTACTGTCAGGCTGTGTAGTCACTGGGATTGCCCGGGTGGCCAGTTACTGTCAGGCTGTGTAGTCACTGGGATTGCCCGGGTGGCCAGTTACTGTCAGGCTGTGCAGTCACTGGGATTGCCCGGGTGGCCAGTTACTGTCAGGCTGTGCAGTCAGTGGGATTGCCCGGGTGGCCAGTTACTGTCAGGCTGTGTAGTCACTTTGATTGCCCGGGTGGCCAGTTACTGTCAGGCTGTGTAGTCACTGGGATTGCCCGGGTGGCCAGTTACTGTCAGGCTGTGTAGTCACTGGGATTGCCCGGTGGCCAGTTACTGTCAGGCTGTGTAGCCACTGGGATTGCCCGGGTGGCCAGTTACTGTCAGGCTGTGTAGTCACTGGGATTGCCCGGGTGGCCAGTTACTGTCAGGCTGTGTAGTCACTGGGATTGCCCGGGTGGCCAGTTAGTGTCAGGCTGTGTAGTCACTGGGATTGCCCGGGTGGCCAGTTACTGTCAGGCTGTGCAGTCAGTGGGATTGCCCGGGTGGCCAGTTACTGTCAGGCTGTGCAGTCAGTGGGATTGCCCGGGTGGCCAGTTACTGTCAGGCTGTGTAGTCACTTTGATTGCCCGGGTGGCCAGTTACTGTCAGGCTGTGCAGTCAGTGGGATTGCCCGGGTGGCCGCTTTAATAAGGTGAGAGGCGTTGCCGAGCTCCCGGGCCCCACCCGCTCACCTTTACCCTGTAAGGAACTCCCCGCTCACTCCCTCAGCCAAGGTAACAGCAGGCGCTCCCGCCCGGCAATCCTCACTCGTGATTGGCTGAGACCGAGTGGGCTCGGGAAGAGCGGGTCACGTGGTGCGCTCAGTTCGGCTCCAGGGCGCCATTTTGAAGGAAAGTTTTGGATTTTCTAGCGGTGAGAGGGAGCGAGAAGGCGGAGGGGGAGGTGTAAGAAGGAGGCGGGGAGCTGACAGAGAGAAAGACAAGGAGAAGAAGGCTCGGAGGAGGAGGAGTGGAAAGTGAACTGGGGAGAAAGGAGGAATCCAGCGCGCGGGGAGTGAACTTTTTACGTGTCCACTCAGCCCCCGTGTCAATATCCCACCGTGAGAGCAGCAGGAGGAGGAGACGGGAACTTGTGCCGCCGCCGCCCCCCGTCCTGGATGTAACTTAGTGTTACTGCATGTCACCGGCTGCCGCGGGCTGTGTACCGGGGGAGACATCCTGCTCCTGGGGAAACAACAAGTGCTGGAGGAGATAGTGCGGAACCCCCGCTTCGGAGTTCGTGGAACAGTCCTGGGGAGGCTCACCCCGTGCAACTGAGCGATCCCACTCCTGTGCTGGGGGTGGAGGCGGTCTGCCAAGAGTTCCTGTGCTGTCCTGGGTGGTGTGGGCTGAGGGTGTGAGCAGACACTAGTTGGCAGCCTGTGCCTGGGGTGTGCGGAGTGCAAGGGCTGCACCATGCCTGTCAGGAAGCAAGGTGTGTGTCTCCCAGGTCACTGTGTGTTTTACCTGTTATTCTGTGCACTCCCACCTTGCCAGTGTCATGTAAACCAGGGGAGGTGCAGCACTGTCCTGCAGGAGGATTTCCAAACAATGTGAATTTGTGCAAGTTACTGTTCTGAATAATAAGTTATTGGAGAAGGACTGAGCAGTTGTAATCCGGTTATGATAGTGTCAGAGGATGTGATTGTTGGTGTTCATTTAAATTGCTTGCTGATGATGTTTACATTTTGCTACTTGAATAGCAGATTGTAAAGTCCAGACTTGAGTTTTATCAACCAACATCTAACAGATGGTTTTGTACTAACTAATGGGTTAGTCCTAGACTCTACTGTATGTTTATGATTGCATTTCTTAGCTGGCAGGCCTTTCTTTTTATTTATTTTTTATTTTCTTTTTAATTAAAGTTTGGGACATCTTTCAAGTGTTATTTGATACACTATTATATAAAGTTTGTAATTAAAACAAACAAAAAAAGCGAACATTGTAAAGCTGTCTCCAGGGAATACTTTGAGAGGCTATTTTAGTTTAGGGTGATACATTTAAAATTCTCCGATCTTTAACAATCAATTTTTATATTGGTAGACTGTAGTAATTCATTATATTAAGTGATACACAGTGGTTGGCTTTAATTTGAAGCAATTCTCTTTATCTTGAGGGATAACATTGTCAGTCTTGGAAAGTGTCTTGTTTCAAATATTCCAACAGGGCACAACTGGTGTTCCCACGTAGTCTGCTGGCTATCGTACATGCTTCTTAGACTACACTGAATTTATAGTTTTTAGGCATATTTTCAAAACCATGTAACCTCCCATTTTCTCACAACTGAATCTAAAGGGACACTGTCTGTAGATTTCCAGAAAACACAAAACATGGATTCTTTTACGTTCTAAGTATTTTGGCCTTTGCGGTAAACAATGAAACTTGGCATTTAGAATCTTACACAAGTAAAGGTTTTAAACACTTTTTAGGTTACCATTCTTTACTTAACTGCCGTATTGCGCTCAGAAATGTTATGGGGAACTAATGAAACAATTTGTGGCTTCATAACACTTTGTCTGAAGATGTTCTTATTCGTCTATTAATATGTTAAAATCCAATGGTATAAGGAAATCAGCATAAGTTATGAATATTATAAGTGTTATGATTTTGCTTTGAACTGTATAGTGGTCATTTAAGCTGACATATTTCTTATCTCTCAACAGTTTAACGTATTCATTTATCTTCTGTATGTGGATAGTGCTGATTTTTTTTTTTTATTTTTTTTTTCTAGATTTGGCACTTTTGTCTAAATTGGCAGTTTTGGTGTGTGTTTCACTTTTTCTCGCTAAGTGCACCCATAAATATTATATAATATCTCTATAATCTAATGGTTTATTCTAATTTTTTTTATATTGTCTGTCTATCTAACAGCATTGAACACTCAAAAAATGATTTACGTTGATTTCGAAAAGTAGTTGAAACTTTTTATTTCAGCACTGCGATATACTCCTCACTTCTGCAACTTTAGACTAGTCAGAGGGGTTCCATAGATGATAATTGTAGACACTTGGTGCATGCACAGCAATTGTTGTAATCCGCTTCTTTATAAGAACCACTGATTCCAGTGCTTTTCGTAGGGATGCACTGGACGATGCATCCAGATGTCAAATACATTTAATTATTGAAAGTAATTGTGTTGGAAGTCCATAGTGGCATGCTATGTGACAGCAACTGATAGTTGTTGGCATTGCAAAATGCAAAACATACCTTTTTCTCAGAGACAACACTGTTTTCGTATGTAAGACTTCAGGGGGAGCTTTTATAAATAACTTTAGGATGAAGTGTTTTAGTATTCAGACTGTTCCTTTTTAAAGGGATAGTCTGAAAACCATTGGTCACAGTGCCTGGAGTCTGTATACACATACAGCGTTTTAATCCCTGTGCTGCCCAGAGTTGTAACTCCACCCCAGCAACGTTATTGAGGGCATCATTAGCCAACCTGGACTAAGATTTATATGCACATTGAACGTGTGATGTCGGGGTACACACAGCAAGAGGAAGAGGGGGGGCAATGTTGGCGTCAGTGGAGGAGGATCAGGTTGCATTAAGAATTTGGCATAATTGCTGTTATGCATTTGAGAAAAAAAAATTTAAGTATAATAAAATATATAAATTTTTTTTTTATTTTTTTTAAATGTATGCAGGTGCAATACAATAGCTTACTGTAACCAGAAACAGTGTTTTTATATTTTTCTTTGGATAACCAATATTGAGGGAGGGGAAAATCTGTTTAAAAAAAAAAAAAAAGTTGGTGTAGTGGTACTGTAAGTTTAGTAAAGGTCACTGTATCAAAGTATATATTTGTATAAAGTGGACTACTAAGGTTATTTGTTGGGTTGCCATTTGCAAAAGCATAGAACCTAGGCACTTTGAGTCTGTTCATGTGGCTGTTTCATCACTAATTTTGCAGAGTTAACACCTACCTTTTCTTACAACATAGCCAGACTTTTTGTGAGTTTAAAGGGAAAAAATTGAGTGAATCTGTGTAGTAAAATACAAACATTGTAACTAACTAAAAAGTGAAATTATTTTAACCCACTAAAACCTTAACCTTCCCTCAGTGCTGACCTATGGGGATTTTCTAGACGCTAAACGTCCTCATGCAAAACTTGGGGACATCCAACTTTGCTACATGGATTCAAACTGAAAAACTGCAAGAAGCAACTCTTGTAGAGAGTCTTAATACAGCATTTGCAGGCTTAAGAAAAAAGGGACACTACGCCAAGACCACTTCAATTAAATGAAGTGGTTCCTTTAAGACCTGTGATTGGCTGCCACATCCATAACAACACTTGGGAGCCAACCAAGTTCTATTTGCCATGGTGATTAGAATTTTTTTGCCTGGGTGTTTGTCAGCCTGCCCAGCGTCTGCAGAATCCGCAGCCCTGCAGAGGCCGATTGAGGCAGTGGTGAGGAAGCTGTACTGTAATCTTCCTGCCTTTCCCCCTTATGCGCCCTGCGTCACTAAATGGTACGAGGGAGCAGAGCAGGACAAGCTTGAAGACTTCAGCATAGCCCCACTGGACCCCACAGAAAAGATCTATTCCAGCTCCCCCAATGCAATTCTGGGTGGATTTAAATTAAAAAAAATAAAAAAATTAATTTGTGAGAAAATGTGTGTTTCAGCATGAATGTGTGCGTCTGTTTTTGAATGTTTGTATGTCAGTGTACAATCAGTTTTGTGTCTGTTTATAATATAATTTGCAATTTTTTAAAATTGTATTTTTTTATTGCGCTTTTCTCCCTGTGAGACTCAAAGCAGAAAACAAAAAGTGATTTAATTCCTAAATGGCAGAGCATTAATCCCTTAAAACCGGAGGGCGTACTATTAGTAT